TCTTGTACTGGGTATTGTCTGAAGTCTAAAGGCAGAACCCCTCCCTTGTGGTCTGCTTTATATTCACACACTGACGTGTCAAACACTTGACAAACTCAGTCATTCATGGCTGCCTTTTTTGATCTGTCCTTAAGGGGGAAAAAAGAGTTAACTGAACTGGATTGAATTAGCTTGGCGAAAAATAAAATGTCTCTATTTATTGAAGTGTGGCACCAATTTGTGATATCTTTCTCTTTGGACTGCCGTCCTCATGTCAGACAAGATATCGAATAATCCAGTCTGACTGCTCAGCCGAGCTGCTGACAGGTTAAGGAAAATGGTGTTTTTAATCAGGTGCAAAATAAACCTAGACACACTCACATTTAAAAAGTAGTCTATGTGAAATGAAACTCCAGAATTTGAACTTTTTAAATTAGTATTTTAAAAGATATTTTAAACAAAATGATTTACTTTAACATTCTGAAGTTTTTATGCACAAGTGTCAATAGTTTTACTTTTGTGATATTTCCAAATATTAAAGATTTTTTCCCAGTAAATTCTAATATTTGAAATGTTTTCAAATATTTTAGGAGTCATTAGTACCTCTTCAACATCACTTGTTAATTTACCTCAAACTTAAATAAATAATAAGTGAAGAGAGAAGTAATTCAGTGAGAACTTGAAACTGTCCTTTAATTTGTGCTATGAACTAATCTTCCATATACAGGCCAAAAAATAACCCAATCATTATAAAGCAAAATAAAACTGATCACTATAGTAATCACTATGGCATTTGTGGCAGTGATCAAAGTGTTTTTTTTTTTTTCTTTTGTTTCTCTTTCTTGAACATATGGATTCTTTTAGAAGAAGAACACCTCAGGAGAAGAAACTATTCAGAGTAAAAAATATACAGTGCTTGAAAAGATTTAAAAAAAAAAACCTACATAAGAACAAAGATCTATTAAAACTGGTTAATAGTGCTTTTATTAGACAACACAAACCATAAATTCCTGGTTCTAGGATTTTAAATCTTTCAATGAGAAGTCACATAACAACAAGCTCTTTGGAGGGCATTTAAAAACAAGTACTTTTGGAATATTTTGAGTATTACTACACCTTCCATAATATCTCCTTCCAAACCCCATTACTGCTGGAATTATAAAGCAAAGTCCATTTTGGCCTATACCCTGATTCATTTTGTATTAAGAAGTGAATTCAAATTAAATGTGAAATCCAGGAGGTGTGTCACCTGGCTGGGAGGAGGAAAGAGGAGAAAGAGGGAAGGGGCAGAAGAGGAGTAACTTTCTCAAACGCCTGTCAACTCCTTATTGTGTATGGAAAGTAAGTATAACTTCAAACTGTCACAGAAGAACTGACACTAATTATTTTTGAAGGAGCGTGTCTTATCGATCTTGTTTAACCAAGTGGGCTCTAGAGACCTGGGGCTTCATTTTTATGGCAAAGGTAGTTGGGCAGGGGTATATACTCAGAACTGTGACATAATATAATGAAACAAAAATCTTCAGTGAGTCTAAAAGGAGGAAAAGAGAAATGTATTTCGTTGATAATGAAGTACAGAATAATGTCCTAAAAGCAACTGATATTTATTGGACTTTAACCATAGTACCAGACACCTTTCTGAGCACATTACTTGTTGACTCACTTAATCCTTGTAACAATCCTACGACATTAGTGTTATATTTCTCTTCATTTACAGATGAGGAAATGAGCACAGAGATGGTAACAAGCTTATCCAAGGTAACACAGTTAGTAAGTGGCTGAGTTAGGATGCAAAAAAGGCAGCCCCACTCCACAGTCCAAGCTCTTTAGGCATAAACTCTCCTTCTTCCACAGAGCTGTTCTAAACTGTCAGTTCCTGTGAGCTCACTGCTGGCTGGTTTCAAGGAGTCCCGTGCAATTTCATGAGGCTTCTTCCAATCAGAAATGATTCAGAAAAGTCTTAGACTTATAAAGTCTAAAAGAGACAGAATAATGGCTGAAATGCATTTGGAAATAACTGCGCTCTTGATTTTCTGCTCCACTCTACCCCTCCTGCTCCACTCTGCCCCTCCCTGTACCCCAGGACTCTGACCTCTGGAAAGAGTATCACCTGGGCTTGCCCACTGGCTTTTTATGCTCTGCCACTGGGAGGCACCTCCAAGAGGCTGGAGTACTGAAAGCATAGGAAGCAGGGTATTTACTCCCCTTCCCCAGCCCCATCCCACCAGCACCTCCCTCCCTCCCTGCTGGGCTGCAGCTAAGCATGCAGTGTCTCTAAGACACTGCTGGTCCCTGGTGCTGTACTATTCCTTCTCGGTGCCCTTACCCTGCCTGCACCTCTCCACTACCTTTCTCAGTTATCCGTTTTGAGTGTGTCGTCTGCTTTCTATTAAGATCCTTAACTGATACATGAATATATAATAAATGCCACAAACTATTCACTTAATAATTTAAAATAATGTTAAGGACAAAGGTTTGTTCTATTTCTCTACAAGAAAAAAAAAAAAGAACCAAAGAAAAATAATTACTCATATGAATTACCTATACTTCCCTTATCCCTTCAATTTCTGGTTTATGCTCCATAACTACTTATTTTAATATTATTTTTATCTTTTCAAAATATACATAGCCTCTTCTGACTTTGTAAATGATAATTCACTGCTAGACAGACTCTCTCTCTCTCTCTCTCTCTCTCTCCTGGCCTTCATTTAACAATGTTCTTTTCATATTCACAGAGCTAGAGTTCTTCTGTTTAAAATTATTTCCTATTTAGGATTGCATTTTTAAAGATTCATTGCTTTAAAATGGTATAATTACTTCAAGTGACTTGGATTTGAATAATACCACCTTGTATTTACATACTGCCTTACAATTTATAACACATCTTTACAAACTGAATTTCTCTTAACATGCTTCCAAAGGAAGAGTAATCAATAAAATCTTATACCATAAAAATCTCAGTCAGAATCCCATCTGATCAGTCTCAACTTCTGACACTCCCTCTCTCCTGGAGACCTGCTGGTGAACTCCCACTGTCATCCCCATTGTCTCCTAATTCACCTGTATTTACTCATCTCCCTCACCAGAACCCATCCACAGTCCATTATCTCTTTGACATTCTACCATTTTTATTTTGCCAATTTCTCAACCCTACTAAGTAACCCTTGCTGACTTTACTCACCCACATTCTTTAATCTGAAACACATCTCCTGCCACCAATACTCACTGCTTCTTTAAGGAAGGCCACCAGTGAACTATTTTCACTAAAATTACCTCACTCTCCTTAACTTCTCAGCTCCATGTGATACCAAATGGCTGCTCCTTCTTTTTGAGACTCACTCTTCCATGCTATCCAGTAGTCTAACTTTTCTCCTAATTTCCAGTCCTTTTCCTTGTTATCTTCCTCTTCATCCCTAGGTGGGAAACACTGGATATTTCTTAAGGTTGTTTTCAGGCCTTTTATACTCCACCTTGGTGATTTCATATTCTCTCACCACCAACGACCAGCCCTACTGGATAGAGGACTAGTAAATCTTTTCTACCACCAATCTCTTTACCCTTTATAATACCATCAGATGTTTACAAATGTCTGATCAAAATATTGGATTGAATATCCTACCTGTCCCTAAAAGACCAATCATCATGTTTTTTACATCAGTTCTGTCTGGTTGTCTTCCTCCTCCTACCACCAATCACCCAGGCACCCAAGGTGAAGCCTTAGAGATACCCTTCACTCCAGTCTTTGGCTTACATGACTCACAAATAAAGTGCCATGTTCTCACTATTCAGCCTCTGCCACAGAACTCTCAGTGTTTACTCCCTGCTCATTTTTACTGCTACTTTTCTGACCATAAGACCAAACTGCCTTCTGTCGAGACTCCTGCAACAGTCTCTTCACAGTCTCTGCCCATCCCTCCTTGTCCAGTCCAGTCTGTGCATACTGAATACGTATTCTCATGCTCAGGTCTAACTGCACTATTCATCTGTCAAAAACCTTTTGACCTCTAACCTCTTCCTGAATAATGACAAAATTTCTTAGACTGGCTTTCAAAGCCCATTGGATTTTACCCAATTTACCTTTCCAGACTTACTGCCCACCCCCTAATGTCTAGAAACAATCTAATTAACTGCTCTAAATTTCATATTTAAGAAACAGAAATGTTACCATCTAATTCACAGAATTAAGATTAAAAGAGGGTTAAGAGAAATGAGTATAAAAATGTTTTGTTTGACAAAATACTTTTCAAATATATGGTCTAAAAGTTTGCTTCTGTGTATATATCTTACCCCTGTCTCCCCTCCCTTTCTACGGTAAGCCACTTGAAGGAAGGAACCATATTTCATTCCTCTTTTCATTCCTAGCATCTGACACAGTGCCAGCATCTGACACAGTGCCAGCATGAAAGATGCTTAACAAAAGTATGCTGAATATATTAATAACCAGTACTTAATAAAAAATGTGTAAAAACTGGGCTGAGTTGACTGAGTAAATCAATGCTAGGGCAATGTAAGTTCCACCCACAAGATACCAAGTCCCCAAAGAGTAGAATAAATAATTTTCCTGAATAAGAAAGATAATTTATATTTATACCCGATGGTCCAATGTGGAGTGTTTTTTAGTTCTTTTGAAGATAGAAAGAATTATTCTAATAATTATTTACAAAAGTCAACTGGAACTAAAGCACATTTTCAAATTAGTGGACTTCCAACAGAATCAATTCAATTTACCAGTTTATCTGGTATACCAACTAGGTCTATCAGGTTAGGTATTTGACACAATACAGATTAATTAGAGATTTTTCTCGTAAATCCTAACAACATTTATTCCACGGAGGTTACATGTTAAAGTTTTTTTTAAATGTTCTTTAATAATCCTCTTTCCAAAGCTCTAAAAAAGTGAAGTGACCAAAGAGATTCCACTAGAGAAATTTCATTGGAATCTTTAGCACATTCCAATTATGTTTATTATACATGCAAATGAGGTTTAAGAGGCAAGACGAAACACAACGTTTTTTTCTTTCTTTTTAGAAAAAGGCAAAATATTCATTATCAAATCAAATTAATGATATTATAGACGAAAAGACTATATTCTGTCTCCTGGGACTGGGCATGTACATTAAACACCTGGATGACAAAACAGAACCTAATACATAAACGTCTACAGGGATTAACAGTAATTTACTTATTAATATTCTCATGGGGTATCTTTTATGAGCTCTCAGAGGCAAGACAATTAAAAACTGTGGTCAGTAACACCAAAGATCATAGACAACAAATTCAGACCTAGCTGTTTTTTCATAATGAATAATAATGGATATGTTGTTGATGAAAGCCCTAGAACTTGAGGATTTAAAGACATCTATGAAATTATTTAAAGACATCTATGAAATTAAAGCCTGGTTCGTCAAGGATGTAATAGTCAATCAGGTCCAACTTACAAATTTCTCCAGGGACAGCACTGAAATAGTGGCTCAACTCTGTAATCTCAGCACTCTGTGAAGCTGAGGCGGGCAGATAACTTGAGGTCAGGAGTTCGAGATCAGTCTGGCCAACATAGTGAAACCCCATCTCTACTAAAAAATACAAAAATTAGCTGGGCATAGTGGCATGCACCTATAATCCCAGCTACTCGGGAGGCTGAGGTAGGAGAATTGCTTAAACCTGGGAGACGAAGACTGCAGTGAGCTGAGACCGCGCCACTGCACTCTAGCCTGGGCAACAGAATGAGACTCTGCCTCAAAAAAAAAAAAAAAAAAGAATAGAAATAATTATTTCAAAGACAGTCAAACGACCCACAAGTTTCAACATAAGGCCTATGGATTCCAAAAGTTCTCCATTCCTTTAAAACTGAGCTTCTCATCCTTTTTTTCTTTTTAATAGCCCTAATACATAAGAAGAATAAATCCAACAATAAGCATAAAATTTGACATCTCAAGTTTAAGTTAAAAATTCAGATGAATTTTTGCATTTTACTAATATAATCATGTGTCTCTTGCTATAAAATGAATCTTTTCTCCCTAGATCTTTAGGAAATTTGTCACTTTGGGAAGTTGTGTTGTATTTGACCTGTTACTCTGAGTAGACCCTTGCCCACCACCTGCTACATATCCACTAGTCATCATCATCTATGTGTGTGTGTGTGTAATCATATCCTGTTCATTTTAGCAGCAAAACAGTGGGCAGCAGTGACGAGAGCAAGGCACCAGCAGCCCCCCTTGACAGGCCAAACTCAGCACAGACTCTGTCTGTCTATGTGATCAAGACAGACCCAGTAGCCTTGATCAAGCTTTTCCTGCAAGTAGAGAATATAAGGATAATCTGGAGAGATGTGACAATTCCATGAGGGTGCAAGCAAGGCATCCCTGGGTCCCTGTGAACCAGGTGCAATAAGCCAGAAGACCCACAACACCCTGGCCAAAAGCACCCCAAGCTTGCTCTATGTAGGCCTATGACAAAGCTATGTTCTGGAGAAGCCACAGTGCCCTCTGGTTACCAGAAAGGCCTCAGGTGTTTAAGAACAGCCTGCAATGAATGAAGACCCTGGCCAACAAGCACCCACCTTCCCAGCCCAAGCCATTTCTTCAGAGCCTTCAAGAAGAGACATCAAGGCAGCCAGACTTCCAGGGGCCCCCCCAGTTGGGTGATGCAAGCCACAGGCTCCTATACCTGTTTCTTAGAAGCAACTGCTGGGGTTACTGGGGGATTTCCACTACTCTGTAACCCAAGCCGAGAAGCCCAGCCTTAGAACATTCTTGGTAGTCAAGAGTCTGTTTCAGTGGAGCTATTAAATTATAAATTTTTGCCAGAAAAGAATATATTGTTTTGTGTAAGATACACTTTCCAGGGCCATTCCCCAACAGAAGAATACAATGATCTTATAAGAAATTGTACATTATACAACTTTCAGTCAGCTATTTCTAAATGTTTCTGCGTGAAGAAAAAAAGAAACTATTCAAAGAACAGTTAAAACAGGTACTCACTGATTTAAAGAGTGTACCTCTAATACACATTAATATCTGCAAATTTCTTACACCAAATAATTTCACTATTGTCCTGCTTCTATAAGTTATATCATTAAAATGTTTCATGACAAAAAGTTTTTGTTTGGAATCTAAAATCATGCTTAGAAATGCAGTTTCTCTGAGTCCATGTGCATCTCTTCCGATTCCAGCATTATTATGTATGTAACAGCAGTGGCACTGGTCTCTGGGTTTTCCTAAAATAGTACTTTTATCACATCAGTCTTCATACATTCTATAGAATTAGATGCAAATTCTTCATTCTAGTATGCCAAATTCATGCTAATAAGGTCACATCTCTACTACTACCTCCAACCTCTAATGGTTTTAGGCAGGCTGCATCCCTGAGAACCACTTAACACATTAATTTTTACCTCACTACCTTTTCTCATTTTTATCTCCCTTTATAAAAGCCTTTTCCTCTGTCTTCATAGATCCATCCTTCGACTCTTAGTTCTACCTTTTCTGTTATGCCTAGAGTGCCTAACCTTACCCAACTAATCTGTACCTTTTATCTTTCTGAGCACTTTCCAACTGCACCACCCATTAGGACAATTAATTACATGTTTTGTATCTACCTGCTTCTACTTTTAAAGTAGAAGTTTTCAAGTTGTTTTGTGCATCCTTTATATGGGAATGTCAAAATAATTCTCACAGAGAAAGAATAGCAATAATACATATAACCAAGGAAGGGCCAAAATTTCCATCCCTTATTATCAAATTCAAAAATAAACATTTGGATTTTAGAATGTCATCCTAATACATACTGCCTGGTAGTCTAAAGATGGCAGGCACAAAGAGATGACATTATAAGATCCTATCCATCTCTGTAAGTACAAGAGATATTATTCCATAAAATGACATGACAGTCCAACAATATTTAACATTCAAATTTTGGTTATATATTTTTTCTGTTAAATGAATATTTAACTTTTAAAACCAGGATGACAAAACATTAAAACTACAATAAATATTATTTCTGATATATTAAATAACCATGAGTTCAGGGACTACTAGAGAAGGATCTTATATTCTTGGTGAAAAACAAAGAGAAAAGAGGGCACCTGCACTGACATAGAAATAAAAGAGTCAACCTCTGAATCTTGGTTGGAAGAGACACTAGTGCCTGTGTGAATTTCCAAAGGCAAATGCTCTTTTCCCAAAGGGGACTGAAGTGTTCTGAGGAATTTTCAATAAGCAGCCTTTATCTTTCTTACTATCATAGTCTGAACTGCCTTCTTTAACAATCCAATTTGAACTCAGTCATCTGAGTTTGGGAAAGTGTCACCATGCCCTAATAAAAGCCACAGCTTAGATATCTACCCTGTAATATTATTAGTGCTATGAAAGAATTTCTGAACATAAGACTTTGTATCAATATTTACTATGATAACTTTGCCTTGTAAATTTTCTGCTTAATACAGAGAACATTTTTACTTAATTTTAATGTGGTTTTAGTTTTATCTCATCAAAGATTATTGCTGAACATATGTCTTGAAAGATACTAGAAAAACTATCAGTATATTCCTTCCTGCCAAATGTATATCCTTTATCAGTTGGCGAAAAACATGAGCTTCTAAATTCTATTTTTATTTAAAATTTTTTAAGTTAGGAAGATATTATTACTTGGAAAAAAAATCCACTGAATTTATTTAAATCGATTTTAGATATTGTGTAGATGCTGTATATTAAGATCACAGCAAGGGCTATTGTTTCTGGGTGCACTATGTATCAAACGCTACCCTCAGCACTTTTTGTACAAGACATTATTTAATCTGTCTTACACCAAGGTTATTATCTCCATTTTACAGCTGGAAAAATGAGGTGTAGAGGTTAAGTAAGGCCACACAGCTAACAAAGACTCAAATGCAGACCTGACTTCTAAATCTGAACTCTTAATACTTATCCTATACTCCCTTCAGAACATCCTATTATTAGTATTTCAATGTTTTCATGTTGTACTGTAAAACCTTTCAGTAAAAGAAGTGAATCAAATGTACTTTCTGAAACAAATATTAAATCATGTTCAGTATGATTTTCACTTTTAATTATTTGAAGCATTTAATTTCTTTGAAGATAAAAAATCTCTATGAAACAAATGCATTGTATACCTCTAGTAAACAAAATATGTGATTAACTAGAACACCCCCATTCCCATACCAGGCTCCGTAACAAAGAGTTCATTATACTTAATGCAGAGCTGCTGCAGGGCACTCACTAATTGGCTCCTTGGTAGCCCTAAAGTAGCAAACACACTTCCTCTGGAACCTACCAGTCAGGGAATGACATGGAATATAGCTCCATGACTCCAACTAGAAAAGAAATGGTAAAATTACTAAGCTGTTAATAAAGAGCTAATGATATAAGAGTATTTAGTCACTTTTTGTAAATAATCCCTTCAAAACATACCTAATAATTTTGAAAATGCGCTTTATTGCCATTACTAAAACAGAGTGGTCTATCTACTAATTCCCCAACTTACAAAATGATGTTCCATGGCCAAGATCAAGCTCCCCACTGAAGAAGCATTTCCCAGTTTCCAGTAGACTGAACTGCTCTGTCGTCTACCTTTCCACAATAAGCTCCAAGTACTTCTGTTTAACACAGTTTATTCCGCTTTGATTATAGGTCATTTCTTACACATCCCTCTCCATAGCTGGTGTGGCTAAGAATGTCATCCCCCATACTTCCCCAACCCTAGCAGAGCTTAACACACACATTAGTTAAACATTTTTTTCTTAATAGCAATTTGAATTAAGGTGTACTCTAAGAAGGCCACGCTGATTCAACTAATTGCTTTTTACATCCAAGATTTCTACGCTTCAATATATAAAATATATAAGAACATTTTATTTTGCATATATTGTATTAAATATATAATAAATATTTTAATAATTATAAGTACTTATTACATAGCAATATATTTTATGTAATATATCAAAACAAAGAGCAAGAATTCATCCTTAAAATGTAAGTTCAAAGACACAAATGTCAAACATCTGGATCCTAACAGTCTTAGAAACCAGTTGCATGCATGTAAAAAAAAAATCACTTCATAATTAATTTGTATCACCAGCAGCTATTTAAAACACCTTGGCCAGGCCAGGTGCGGTGGCTCAAGACTGTAATCCCAGCATTTTGGGAGGCCGAGGCAGGTGGATCACAAGGTCAAGAGATCGAGACCACCCTAGTCAACATGGTGAAACCCCATCTCTACTAAAAATACAAAAATTAGCTGGGCATGGTGGCGTGTGCCTGTAATCCCAGCTACTCAGGAGGCTGAGGCAGGAGAATTGCCTGAACCCAGGAGGCGGAGGTTGCAGTGAGCCGAGATTGCGCCATTGCACTCCCGCCTGGGTGACAAGAAGTGAAACTCCACCTAAAAAAAAATAATAATAATAATAAAATAAATACATGAATAAAACACCTTGGCCACAAGGTAACAGTATTACCATAAATTAAATATACAGGAACGCTACCTGTATTTCAAAAGTTAAAGCATTGTCATGGGAAAACAGTAATTACAGATAACGTGATCACAGTGGCCCAACTGGAAATGTTCTAGGCATAGAAGCCTGGAAAAGTAGTGTCCACAGAAGTGAGGGCTAATTATATAAGAAATAGATGTTATCCTCTTAGTGACAAACAAAAAGCGTCCAACAGAGACAAGATTTGGTAAAGCCAAAACCACCTCAGAGAAATATATTTAGTAATTTCAATGTTAAGGTGAAGAAAACACTTTAAATGCATACATCCACAGTGACTGAAATTACCACTCTTATGTTCAAGGAAGCCAAAGTATTTCAGTGTTGAAAAACAAACTTTCAAATGCCACTACTGTTTTCAGTCTCAAACAAATTCAAAACACATAATTCCTAGTCTCAAAAAAAAACCCTAAAATAAACAAGATAGCACCTCACTAAGAAAACAAAAAGAAAAAATTCAAACCTTTCTATCAAGACTTCAATCCTAAGTTTGATTCAAAGACTATATCGTTGTACCTGGTATTGCTGTACTAAACCAAATGGATTTTAAAATGCTACGTTTCATTAAACTTAAGACATCAGCTGAAGACATATCACTGGCTTTTTATTCTCTTCTCCCTTACCAGTCCCCCACACTGTCCATTACCCAAAAGCAGAATGTGTAAGTCCCATAATGAGGAAATATTTCTCAAAGATGTTCCTTTCTTCTCCCTCCTCACTGCCAAATGACCTCCATCAACTCTCACCACAAAAATTATATTAACTTCCTAACTAGTTTCCCTGCCTCAAGTCCTCCTTTCCCTTCCCATTCTCAATCCTCAACAGCTACTTCATGATAGAAGACATTAATTCAATCTTATCACAAACCAACTTAAACACTTTCATGGTTCCCCAGTGTCTATACAATGTCCAACCCTTAGCATAGATTTCAGACCTAATATTTACACATCTTTTTCTACGAGCACACAAAGCAGGATCAATACTATGACTTCTTTATATACAGCAAATATTCCAAAAATAATAATGAAAATATCATTTGATTTTCAGAGCTGAAATTCAGAAAAAAATTATCCTGATGGACTAGAATAGCATCACTGAGACAGCAGGTAATAGAATGAATCAGGAGCCTCACAAGGGCCTTCTTTATATTCTTAACCTTTAAAGTATAACATGTTCTTAACAAATGTTTGCTGAAAGTGGGAATTTTCTAGGAAAAACTCAAGATTCATACCTCAGCAATTTCAAATTTACACAGGAAATAACTGGACCAAATATTTGAAGTTGGGAATATAAAATCTCAGACGTGAAGGTAGCACAGGGGCGTGACTGAAGGAACCTGTGCATAATAGTCTAATGCTAAGGTAAAAACCAAACTGGTGTCAGGGCAGTGTCTCCTCATTGCCTAGATCCTGACTGTTTTAAAGCAGACAAGGAAAACAAGGTTAATTTCCAATAGGCAATTTTAGCTGACAGGCCACAGGTAAAAAATACACTGAAAATAAATGTTTAAGACAATTTAGAATCATACAACTGATGTGTTTCCAATGTATTTTTCTCAAAATATAAATGTTTATTAATGGCAATCAACAAAGATTATTAATCTACATGTAAGAACAATTAAAAACAATTCTCTCAAATGCTGCTTAAAAGTTAAACCAAAAACCTTACATACTGGTTCACAAAAATCAGTGCACTGGGGTCACTGGAATATAATCTTAATACTTTCCTATCAGAAACCTCAAGAGGGCTTACATGTTGTATCTTATATTTGATCATATCATAACAACCTGTTCTCTAACTATTGGACTCGCTATGTGTTATCCTGTGTCCAGTGCCTAAGAGCTCGTTAATTACCTAAACTATATCTCCATAGGTCTTGTTAATTACCCGTCTCCTGTCTCAGAGGACCTTGTTAATAACTTGTACAGTCTCTCTAAAGAGGTCCTAACAACACATTAAAATTAAAGATGCTTTTCTTTTAGCACCTGTCAAGTGCTGTAAATTGAGAAATTTTCACATCAGTTTATTAGCCTACAATAGTTTTTGTGAACTTTTTTGGCTTGTTTTCTTCTCTCTCAGAATCTCGCTACATCTCAATCTCTCTCTCAAGGAAAAAAAAAAAGGCAAAGTTTGTCTTTTTTGTTACAGAGCTTTTTTTTGGTTTTCAATTTTGAAGACTATAAATATCAATTTGCATTACTGAATTAGCACAAGGATGCCATGGCTGGTATCTGCAAATTAACCCACTGGGAGATGCACCAATTAATGAGAGCTATTATAATGAGTATTAGGATGACAAAGGGTAAAAAAGTTTCAAGTAGTATCTGGGGAGTTAAACATAAAAGTTCTAGTTAGTGTTAAGGGAACTAATCACGTTGCATATTTTGTGTTCACAGTCATTGCTTCATTGGATACATTCTGTAAATCCCTGGGCCCTAATGGATTAATGGCTCTAAAAATCATCTCAAAAGTTTTTGTTTTCTGTCTCTTAAATGAAGGCACAAATTTTCAGGTCTGTAAAAGATGTATAGCCTACCATGCATAACAGGTAAATTATCTTCAATACTAGACAAATATAAGCAAAAAAGTAAATATTGCTATGGAAACAAACCCTTTGCAAGTTAAGGTTTATGATGCCAACAATTGAACTTTAAACTCATTTGGGAAAAAAATGTCCATAAGAGACATTACAAAAATAAAGGTTTAAAAACTATCAATAGACTCTTTTACTCAGGATCATTTATTTACTATACTTTTTAAAAATAAAAATGTAAATTACACAGTAGTCTTTGATTTTTAATGAACATGTTACATAATTTCATAAAAATAGCTACATGCTTATAAGCTTATGGTGATTTGTGAAAATCAGAAACACACTTAAATATACATTCTAGGTAACCAATTTTTTTTGGAGCTCCTAAGGAAGGTATGACACAAGCACAGACAGGAATTGACTCGTTAAGGAAAGAAAGAAGGAAGGGAGGGAGGGAGGGAAGTAGGTAGACCTGACCTCAGAAGTGGAAAGCACACTGCCATGCAAAATTACTAAAACATTAGTGATAAATAGGAAGTCTTGATCTTAGATACTATTTCTGTACCATCCTAAAACATAACTATTTGGTGTAAGATCATCTGCTAAGACGGCTCTTCCACCAACCATTAAAAATGAAAATACCTGCTTTTGTAAAATCAGTAATACTAGAAATATTACAGAGCATATATTTAGTTATCCTAAAGTAGCTAGGAATTTGCTACATGGCATTCAAACTACAGTAGAGCAGAAAATAATGAAACGAAAGCATGTTCTTTGCACGCGTCACAAATAGGACAGTTCCCAAACAAAATTCTTTGGTAAAAATATCTCCCGTTAAATTCTTGCCCTCGGAACAGCTGCCCCTCTAACATCAAACAACAGAAACACATCACACAGAGTAGTAGGCTTATATTGATTTTTTTTTATTTCAAAATAAGACATACTTAAGCAATTTTCTCCTTATTCTCTCAAGCAGAATTCCCTTCAGTAGGTGGAGTTCTGTTGTCCTGAACTTTTTTGAGGAACTTAGACCTCTGAAGAATCCACATTATGGAGTTTCTCCTTGATTTACCATGGGTAGCTTACAAACAGAAGCATATTTTTAAGTGTCATTCATCACTATTGACCCTCAGGTTTTACCTCCATCCTGAGAAACAATTCATCCATAGATGCCATAAATATTTCATAGTCAGAAATTTCTGCCTGGTCTTCAATGCTCACTATAATTGGGGTGTATGTGTGTGTGTTTAACCTATTTAGCCATATCTTTTACTCCTTTCCACCACAACTCTGTTTTAGCCAAGCTAACTTCCTTACTGTACCCTCTACCTTAGTTAGGGACCTGCAAGCAGAGCTAATATGACTAAGTTGACTAATTTAAGTATGCATTTGCCCGCGCAATTCCTGATTCCCATTAACAATGAATACTTACTGAAAGCTTAGGAAATAAAGTGGCCCCACCCCTTTAACTGTGGTTTTACTTTCCACTATTTCAGTTACCCATGGTCACCTATGGTCCAAAAATATTAAATGGAAAATTCCAGAAATAATTCATAAGTTTTAGGTTCTATGCCTTTCTGAATAGCCTGATGAAAGGGTAGGGCATCCGATTCTGTCCTGCCTGGGATGTGAATCATTCCTTTGTTCAGTCCCTTTGCTCCGTGTATCCATGCTGTCTACACTGCCTGCTCACTAGTTACTTAGTAGCCATCTTGGTTATCAGGTCAACTGCTGCGGTATTACAGTGCTTGTGTTTGAGTAGACCTTATTTTACTTAATAATGGCCCCAATGTGCAAGAGGAGTGACACTGGCATATTGTTGTAATTGTTCTATTTTATTACTATTGTTACTCTCTTACTGTGCCTAATTTATGAATTAAACTTTATCATAGGTATATATGTATAGAAAAAAAACATAGGATATATAGGGTTCAGCACTGTGCCTGGTTTCAGGAATCCACTGGGGGTCTTGGAACGTATTCCCACAGATTAAAGGGGACCACTGTAGGTGATATAATATAATCAGCAATTTTTAAACCTGATAGTCAATGGGAAGTTGTTAAAATTGTTGATTTTCATTTCAGGATCCACTCACTAGAGATTCTAATTTAGTCAGAGGGGAGGCCCAACAAACTGTAACTAAAAAAAACCCCAAAATCTCTAGGAGCTCCTGATGATCAGCACTGAGGTCTTGCACAAATCTAGGTGCTGTGGGGCACCCAAGAAAGAAGATTCTGCATCACAGTTAAGCTTCTACAGCTTAATATAAGACCTAGGCACAATAAACACTGTACAGTAATTACTTCTTCTACATCAGCAGAAGTCCAAAGGGCAACATGAGGTTATTACTCAAAAAAGGATACTCAGAGATGAGTTGAGAGTGCACCCCACAATTGAGCCCAGGAATGAAGATGGCATGGCTTATAAGGACATCACATGTAGTAAGGAAATTAACTTACCTAGAACAGGTTAGTGAGGAATATTAAAAGAAAACTTGGAAGGTTAAGAAAAGCCTAAAATACCATAAGCCTTATAAAGTTAAAAAGAGGAGTTTGGATTTGGTGTTGCAAAGCAGTGGCTCTTAAACTTTTTGGACTACAGCTTTCTTAAACATAACAAAAGGTACTATGGTCCATGTGCCCTCCTCAGTAGTACAAATAATGCTAAGTGCTATAAAATATATACATACATACACACACACACACACACACACACACACACCCCTCAGTAACTTATATCCCATGAACTTATTATTCAGACAAGTGCCACTTGGTTATTCCTGGTCAGGTGGACCTTCTACTTGCATGCAGAGACCCAGGCTGCTCCTACTTATAGCTCTGCCCATCTCAAAGATCCTCTCCATTCAGCTACTGAGGGGTCAGCAAACCATTTCTGTAAAGCCCAAATAATAAATATTTTTAGTTTTGCTGGCCATATGGTCTCCGTCACAACTACTCAACTCTACCACTATAACACAATAATGACCATAATGTGGCTGTGTTCCAATAAAACTTTACAAAAACTGGCATCAAGCCAGATGTGGCCTCCAATCTTACTTTGCCAATCCCTGGTACAGGATAATATGGAGAAAGAGGCAAAATGGAGGACTGTGTTAAGAGGACATTCCATGGGTCAGACCTGGAAGTGGTATACCTCTCTTCCGTGAAGTCTTAAATAAGCCAGAACTTGCTATGTCCTAGTTACAAAAGAAAAGAAAAGAAAGAAGGAAGGAAGGAAAGAAAAAGAAAGAAAAGAAAGAAAGAAAAAGAAAGAGGGAGGATCAACAAATTTGGCTTGATGAAAACGCCCATCATTTCCACTTTTAAGTGAAAAAATAGCCTAGTGATAGCATTATTTATAATTTGTTACATTATTTATAATTTATTAAAAGATAATTTGTTGTGAACAAATTATTGAAAATGGTATAACAAATATCTGGGCACATTTGTTTTTAGCAAATGATATACTGCTGATTAAAAAAAGAATTACTTTGCAAATTATGGGATAAACCATATAAGTTAGTTGACAATTTATTGGATAAATGATAAAAAAAAATTAGTTGATACTGATGATGCTAAACTACCTGTGACTTACAATTAAAAAGCACGACTAATAGCAATTTTAAAATACAACTTAGTGCCAATAATAAACTGAGAAAATATTCTCTTGAAGATTACAAGAACTCCAACTCTACTTACTGTATATGTGTCGTAGGAGTTTTACAGCATGCCAGCATTGGACAGCATCCCGACTTCTTAGTAGCAAGCTGATTTGGCATCAATGGCACACACAATATTGTAAGCTCACTAAACCCAATTGAGCTTCCTTCTGGGTAAACAGCTAAGTCACAGTTCTTCACAAGTTAAAGTGAGGTTGGGACATGGGTGAGCTCTAACCAATGGGACATATGTGGAAGTAATGCATACTGTGCTTGGCCTGCCACACAGAAATGACCCTCCTTTGATCCTCTCTCTGTTCCCCTGCTGCACTGATCTTGGAGGCTATGTGTTAAATGGTAGCATCACAAGAAGGAAGAAGTCTGTTTCCTGAGACTGTGCAAAGCCCGGTGAATGCATAGAACAAAGCACTCACTTTTCCTATCACCCTCTCAGTGAACTGCTTTGTGACAAGAGTGAGCAATACACTTTTACTGTGATAAGCCACTGATACCTGGGGTTATTACAGCTGACAACCTATCCTTATACACAGTTCTAAATAGACTCCAGAAATGTACTATTTAGATTGAATATCACATTTTAGTAATCCTTTAAAACTTACATTTTTAACAACGTTCAGTTTTACACAGAACTGCATACATCTGCCTTTATGGATATGTTTTCAGTCTATCAGAAAGATCTTCACAGCCCACACAAGCAGGTGTGGAAGTAGGAGGCTAACTGAACAAGAGTAGCATTTTAGGAAACGGGTCTGCTATACTGTGTGCATTTATTCAAAATGTCTAATACACTACCTACCAAGCATCACGCTGGAGACTCAGGGCAAAAAGAGGAATGAAATGCAGATCCTGCCACCAAACTCTTCATGGTAGTGGGTAAGAAAAGTGAGACTAAGCTGTTAGTGAACAATGTCATGCCCACGTAGGACTTACGTAAGCAAATGCTGCAGCACAGTGAACAACTATGTCTCCCTATGAGAACAGGAAAGGCTCCAAAGAAACAGGGGCGTTAAGCGACTGCAAATTAGTAACTTTGGGAAAAAGTGTTTCAAAGAGCCCTGTTCTTTGCTGAAGTAACCCAAGAAAAGGCCTAATTTCCTCTATCAGTTTTATGTAAAACTATGGAACCTATTCCAAGGACAGAATCAAAATGTGGTATTTTTTGTGGTTTCCAAAATACTTTCTTCAGGTAGACTTTACTTACACTAAGAAATAAAGTCTAACTTTAAAAAAAAAAAGTGTACCTTAGTATATCTTAAAATTTTTGGCATAAAGAAAATTCTCCAGTTTTAATCATATACATTATTCAACCAGAGGGTAACAATATGGTTCCTAGGTATCTGCAGTCACAAGTGAGCCAGTTCACCCACCAAGAAGGAAATGCAATTCCAGAGCTATGTATTTTACCCTTAACTTTGCTCAGCATTCTCACAAACACTGGCCACAAGAGGCCAGGAAACCGTAAATAGGTCTATTTAGTCCTCCTGAAAAAAATTCACAGCACGTGTCCTACTGATGTGAGTCCGTAGCTCCAAAAGTGCATGCGGTTAGGATGTTAACGTGAGAAATTTACAATGTCCCAGATAACTGAGGGTTGATACTGGGAGGAAAAATAGGAATATACCGTTATGTAATGACAACGCTACCTTGGCAATATCATCCCAAATTCCACTCAAGATAAAGCTGCTTGCCAAAAGTGTGAAGTGCACTCTCTTGTTGGGTCTATTTATATTCAATTCTTCTTTTTTATAAGATTAACTAGAATTATCCCTTTACTGCAAATGTTTCATATTTACCACACGGATGGTTTGTGATGCAAAAAGAATAACTTCCTAGGAATCCACAAATGTTCTGTCCTCATATCTGGCATCCCATAAATATGAAGAAGAGAAATTCATAAAACAAAAAACAACTTTTTTATACTTGCAATCATTTTATACATCATAAAACATCTCTAATTTTGATAGAAAGAGCCATTAATAATAAAGTAACTAAAAACAAAGCCTAGATCTGTCAAAATGCCACACTCATTTTTAAAACCCGTAACAGTCCATGTAAACAGCTCAAGTATAGGGTAATCAAAGATTTGAGAATACTCATAAGCTTTTTCTTTTCCCATACGTACCCATAATGTAAAAACACTATTTTCCTACCATTTTCCATTTTCTTGGTTTTCCTTGACTCTAAAATTAGCTAAACTGCCCAATCTCCAAGTTATCTCAGACAGTTGTTTCCAACAATCTTCTATTAAAAAAAAGTTTAGTAAAGGGGGAAAGAAGCAAATATATTTCTATTTGCCCATATAATTTAAGACAATGTAATATGGGAAGTACGCTATATAAAATATCAAAATATTTTTGAATGGCATATCAAACCTATGAAGTCTTCAATAAAATATTGATAGCATATGATAAAAAGGTTATTTTTCTGGAGTATGGTCTATAAACAGAACTGAATACTCTTTTAAACCATGGCAAATATCCATTTATAGGCAAAAGAAAAAAAAAGTACACTTCACTTTGAAAATTTTAAAAGCAAGTTTTTAAAATATCATGTAAGATATGTAAGAGAGGTGGAAGGGCACAGCCTAAAAGCGTGATTGACTGTTAATACTGAATTTGCTGTTTCTAGTGGGACAAAACAAAGCACTGTTTTTTAGTAAAATATAACATGACAATACATCAAACATAATTGAAGTCACCATTTATGGGTTCTCTATTTAGGGCCTGCATTTGTATTATGTACTTTATATATAATATCATTTATCCTCACTGAATCCTATCAAGCGGGATTATTTTCCTTGTTTCAAAGATGGAGATGCTGAGGTTTACGGAGGTCACAGCACTTCTAAGCCAGCATTCCCATTCAGGTCTGTATATTCTACATTATTGTCTTGAAGAAAATCTTCTGTTACGTGGCAAACACTCTAGCATGCTCTTCCAAGATAATCACAGTCGTCTTTCAGTATCTGAGAGAGACTGGTTCCAGGACTCTGAGGATACCAAAATCCAGGGACACTCAAGTCCTCCATATAAAATGGTACAGTATTTGCACATATACACAACCTCCCATATATTTTAAATCATCTCTAGATTACTTAGAATACTGAACACAATACAAAGCTATGTAAATCATTGTTACACTGTACTGTTTTTTAAATCTGTATTTTTTTAATTCCTATATTGTTATTTCTTATTTTTTAAATATTTTCAATCCATGGTTGATAGAATCAAAAAATGCAGAACCTGCAAATACGGGGAGGCCAACTATATTTAAGATGGCAATAAATGTATCCTTTGCTTGAAGTTTCCTTAATCAGCTATTTCATCATTTACTTCTGTAAAATCCATAACCATATTTAAATTTATTCCTTAGCAGATCTAACTTTATATCTATGTAGATAAATTTATATAGATATATTTATATAGATTTAAATTTACATATCTAGATATAAATTTAGATATACTAAGAAATAAGAAAAGCACCATTATATATATAACTGAAAACTCAAAGTTTGAAAATCCAATCTTTCTCATGAGTGATTATTTCTGACTAGAAATTATCATTAGATCCCTTAGGTGTTACCTACAGAACCCATGAGGGACACTGAATTCCAATAACAAACATTCTCAAATAAAAACTACTTCTAAATAGCCATTTATTAAGAATAATTAACATCTATTAGGAAAACCATTACTACTGAAGCTGGTATTTCTTAAAGAGTAGCCCATGGGCTGTTGCTGGTCCTTTCCAGATAGCTCATGAGCAAATCCCTAGAAACATATCACCTAAATTTCTGGCTTGAAATAATACCCACTGGTAATTCACTCTCTCCATGTTTCATCACAAGCCATGTTGTTTTCTAAGTTTCGGTGAGTTTCTGGCTCACATAAGTGGAAGTAGACCAGGACAGAGAATAAGTGTCTTTTATCTTCTTATGATAAAAAAGTTCAGCTCCAAATATATATGCAACTTTGCTTGGCTCTATAATTTAATTATAGAAATAAAAATGTTCTTCAAGGAAAATAAAACAACTTGAAAACATTCTAGTATTTAAAAGAAATATCTGATAGTTTCAAGTACAAGATTTTCCCAAATAGAACTTCCCCCATATTAAGCTTACCTTGAAGATGGCATTATATTGGAAGCCCTGAATTTTGCTGTAAATGGATTGGTTGACTCATAATCAAAATAGTCCTGGCGATTTTCACTAAATGCATTAGGTGATTTCAAGTCACAAGGGCTATCAGATCCCCCATTGTTAAGTTTATCAGATCTTCTGCTATCTTTTTTTCCAGTAACTCTTTCAAACAGGCTAACTTTCTCCCTTTTCTCTCTTTTATTTTCTTTTCTTATTTCGATTGGTTTTGAAAATAAACTCATGCTGCTGTCCCATGTTTCACTGCTTTCTTCAAACGGATTTTTCTTCCTTGGCAGTGTTGCAAATTTTTGGGGTAATGAAGCAGTCACATTTGTAAATGGGTCATTTTGTCCTCTGAAACACAATTCACCTTCATCCACAATGCTGTCAGGTTGGTTCATTTTAGAAGTATCAAAGCTCAATGTTCTTCTGTGTGGAGATTTGAGACTTCCTACAAACAATTTTGTAGTTAGTACATAATCAGTGACACATGACATCACACTACTTGACACATTCTGTGTTATTCTGCTGCTTTTAGAATGAGAGCAATTAGCTACTTCAACTTATTAACCTTCAAAAAATCAAGGAAAACAATCTTAAAATGCTAAGGTATAGCAGTCTGAAGTACCTGGGCTAATAACAATTAGCATATTGCTAGACCATCAGTAATTTATTCAGCTCACAATCATATAAACTATAACGTCAAAACTAGAGGTTCTGCTTGGCATGATAATGCTAAAAATTCTCAGAGACTTTTTCATTGGCATTAAATTTAACTTACTTCTGAATGTAAAACTTTTCTTCTAGGGACTTTATGATGAATGGAACATTCATTTATGCTGAGGGTTTTGAGACAGTAGAAACAGCAGTAAAAAAGGCAGCCAGGCCATGAAAGGAGACTGGCACTCATTTTATTATCATCTAATAATAAAAATACAAATGCAGACAAGCTCTGCCTTCAATGAGCTTACCAATTTGAGGTATAGTAGGTACTCAATATTTGATGAATGACTAAATTTAGAAAATACTACAAAGCAACTGCTATTTTTATTTTCTGAATTTAGAAATTAAACTTTAAAAACTAAAAGGGTAGTTCAGACCAATGAGGACACAAGAATGTGGCACTCACCACTTTCTGGAACTGCTCCAAAGGAATCTAACTGGTGTCTGAGAAGATGTGTTTGACCTATGGTGCCAGCCTTCAGTTTCTCAGAAGACATGTGGGACCCAGATAAATCAGACATTGAATGCGCTGATGAGAGTCGCTGAGGACCCAAAAGAAAAGGCTTTTTTGGTTTGGATTTCATCTGTATTTCACCAGCTGAAAATTCAGTATTGGCGTCGGGCATGTGAGTACTTGGAATGATTGCAGAAGACGTATCAGAAAATGTTCCATCATTTTTTCTACCTTTCATCTTATCTTTTAACTTTGCAAAAGGAGATCTGGTTTTGTCCTTTATTGATAAGTCAAACATACTTGCAGTCATATTGTTCCTCATAAATTGAATATTGACCTTTATCTCACCCCTGTTTTTGATTCGTTTTCCTTGTTTGGATTCTAATCTAAACCACCTTAAACAGAAGAAAAAAAATGGATTGTAACACATAATGAAAAGAGGATACTGAGTTCTGTTACATACAAATAGCTTTTTAGACAAGGTAACTATATATAAAGGCAATCAAAGCCCTTAACAAGAATCTGTCAGCCACGGTATTTCTGGGTTTACTCATTGCTTAGTTTAATGATCACTGTTTCTGCGATGTAATAGATGATGTAATATACTGCAGGAATAGGTCTTTAGCAAGTTTGAAAATGTTTTTAGATAATCTTTTCTTTTGTGATTTGAAAATCACTCAACATAAAAAATTTGTATCAATGATAGAAGTTTTCCATATGGGATTAAGTGTTGCTCATAGTCTAAGGATATTTTGTGACATTAAAAGACACCGAGGCAGAGACTTTTAAAGAACTCATCAATACAAATAGTTTTGAGCAATATAAAATGAATACTGATGACATTTTAATACAATAATAAATACCTGGCTCCATCCCAAAATATTACTTATGTAAAAGTAGCAAAAGAATTTTGTTAATATGGGAGATCACTACATATAGCTTGCTAATCATTAAAACAGCATATGATGTCACTTAGATTGATATAAAACGGATCAAAGCCTTTTCCTGAATATGCAAAATAAGTAAAATGCAAGTGACAAAAAATAATCTTGTGACGTCTTCAAAAGAAAAAAAAAAAAGCTAGAATTCTTCCTGTTTGAATTTATTTGCTTCATTTTACTATTGCTACTGTGACAATAACAAACAAAAATTATTTTGCAAATGAAGCCAACTCTTACGTTTTAGTCACTTCAATGTATTGCACTACCTATGTTTAAATGATTTACAAGAAGCAATATTTTGGTTTCATAGTGTTTTTATACATGAGAAATTCTCCAGTTGTCCATGTCACAAGTGGTCATTCTGTAGGAAAACAGCCAAAAAACTACAAAATCAAGCCTGAGAGTTTCTACAATATTTTCATGTAACTTAGCAATGAGGCATAATATCCATTCCTGCAGACAGGTTATTATTTAAATATAGTTCTAATCGAGTGTAACGCATTTTCTTAGCTACAAAGGAACTCTGATCTAATTTTGCATTCGTTCTTTCATTGTTACCAACCGGATATGCTAGGAGAAGATTACATTTACTGTATATCAAGTTGAAATACTGGTTCACAGGTCTTCCAGGAAGAACAGAGAACTGGCACTTGATATAAATACCAGCTACATCTTAGCAAGTAACAAGAAAAATATTTTGATTAAATTGGAGCAATTCAGATATAGTTGCATCAAAACTAGCAATTTTTTAGAATATCAATATTTTATAATAGCAATAGCCTGAGTACTTAAACAGAGAAAATCCCTTATGTAAGGCAAATGGTAAAATCTGAAGAAACAGGGGTTAAATCTGAAGAAATAAGAAATGACAGCAATAAACTCTGTGAAATAGACAACATTAAATAACATACAATTGAGCGCTCAAAAGCCTGAAAATGAAGCAGATTATATACTCAGTTAACTCAAAGTTTTGGAAAACAGTCCCATTTTCAATAAGGAGAGAAACACATCTGATAAACAGTATCTCAGAAATACTCTGTAGTATTTCAGGCTTTATATAATATAGGTGAATATACTTTGCAAGAAATGTACCAAAAAACATGCAAGCAAAAATGAGCATGTATATAATAAATCAAAGCAAATATGAGGCAAAAAAAAATGAATCACCCCCAAAATAGAAGGAGGTAAGGGTAGTCAAAATTCATAGAATTTAAGAAATAAGACCAATCAATCATTTACTTTAACATCTTTATTTCATAGATAAAAAAAACTGAGGCACAAGGAATGATGTGTAACTTCCCAATGTCAGATTAAAGTCAATAAGGAAAAAAATCTAAAGTTGATGAATAACATCTGCAGGAAAATAGTTCTTTCTTATTTGATGAACCACATGTTAATAAGGTTAACCACATGGCTAGCACATATTGCAGGACACTGTATTTAATCAGGAGACATGAGAGCTAAAGAGAAAGACAATGCAAATTTTGTATTGCTAGACTATAAGCACCTAGAAGGCAGGCTGCCTTGCATCAAATGTTTATTCAAGTTTTATTTCTAGAACTACATTCTTACAAATAAGCTACAACTTTGTGTATTTTTTTAATATTGTTTTATTTTCCAGTAGGGAACTGTGAAGACCAGGATAAACTTGAATAAAGCAAATCAGTGTTTGACTACAAACTGTAAATACACTATCATGTCCATTCCCCACCCTCCAAGAAAAACTGCAAAGAACTTTTACTAATATACTCATCGAAAATGTAGGAACGAAAAATAACTTAGTTGCTTTGTTTTGAAAATGATGTAATAGGGATGTCTTAATGAGATCTTCAAGAATCATTTTGGAGGTAGCATTTGTTTTTTTCCAGTCTTCAGAAAGATAAATGAAGACGCAGCATTTGAAGCTTACTGGATTAGCTGACTTTTTTTCACCTCTGGAGTGCTAGATTTAAACTATACATGGCCTCCATTCAATTTTTAGTGGGCACAGGTCTATGTTCAAAAACCAGCACACATGTGGGAACGATTCCCAAGCAATTGGTGCTGTGTGGTCAGAAATGGGACAAAATTGGCAGTAAGGGTGCCAGAGGCCAGGACACAGGTGCACCGCAGAGACACACATGTCCTAAAATCTGCATATGTTTGAGTCATATATAACTCTAGAGACTCTGGTTGTTATTACTTTTCATGAGCATTAAAAAAAAAATCAACATCGCCTACTTCTATTGTAAAAAATCAATGGATATTACATAACAGCATCAATGATGTTAACATTCTATTATTAAACATTGTATTAGTTCTTTAAATCTCATGCCAGAACCAACCCAGACATCCTTTAAAGGAGGAGACAGAGAAGTTCTCTTCCCAGGCCCACTCAAAGGGTTCTGTTCCTTGAGAGAGAGAGAGAGATTGGTTCATTTTCAAGGTAAGAAAATAAGTAATAATTTTAGCTGTCATACTTCTTTATCTATCATGACACAACTGGAAGACAAGCTGTAAATACATGTCTTCAGTGTCAAAAAGCAAAAAGTGTCACACCCAGCAGTTTCATAGGACTTCTAAGTCAGCTGGTAGTCCTCATCACTCAAAACAGTTTTCTAAAAAGCACTGGGGAATATGCTGACATGGTTTAGCAATGTACAGAATATTAAATATCTTTCTTGCAATATACCGGTGGCTCAAGTCTGTCTCTTACTGGGCCACATGTACAGCTGTGCTAGAAAAGGAAGCTATTAAATATATTAAAAAACTAGAAATATTACCAATAAAGATACCTCATCAAATACATGGTCCCCATTTATCCACAAAGAAAATGTTAAGGTCTTAATAACGTATGAAAGTCACTTTGAATGCAATAACATCACAAACCCTGTTGATAACATTTAAAAGCATTGTCCCCCTGAAGTTCTAACCAATTTTATATAATAGCCAGTAGAGAATTTCTGTAAGGAGAGACCACAATATTAGAGTATTGCTCACATCAAATGTATTGTAACTGTGATGTTGCCCATGACCAGGAGTAAAACTAGAAGAAACTGCAAAAGATTATTTCATCCTCAGACTCTTTGGGTTAACATTTGGGCCTATTTTCACTTGGAAAAGTTATGTTTCAGAGGTCTGAAATACATGATCCATTAACATTAAAGTACTATAAATCAAGGGAGAAATTCGATGTTGTAATATACTTAATGGTTTACATTCAAAACACTTTAAATATTTACTAAGTGTCACCCAAAATTGGCAATTTGAAACAGATTATTTGGTAATGATCCATTTTTCACTTTCAATTTGATAAAGAATCCCTCGGAGGAAACTGAATGCTACTCTTTAGGTATCAAATAATTTTACTATTCAAATCACTGATATATATTCAACTTTACACTTCTTAAAAAACTTTCTCCTTCTAAAATATTTTAATCTCAATTAAATATTATCCTTTTTCCTCTTGCATTCCCAGAGGAAAGTGTAGAGATCTCTCTACACTTTTATTCTACATATATTAGATCTTAGGTAATGACTTGATTTAAAATGAAACAAAAAACTACCATCAAGAGAAGCCTAAGAGCAGAAATGTAAAGAGAAGAACAAGAGATAGCTGCTTTAAAAATGTCAGGAATTAACACAACCTTGAAGAAAAATATCATTATAAGACAGTTTTTAAAAGAGTAAATAAATTCATTTATGACTGAATGAAACACCAACACTATTTTGAAAATGGAAAGTCCTAAGAAGTTCAACCAGTATTTTTCTCTCATTAATTTCATTAATATTAATGTTCTTTTAAGTTTAAGGAGGGGGTGAATATACCTATCTCTAAAAGCATATATTTTTTTTCAATTTAAGACACAATATCCTAGTGTTAATTTATATTATGATTTTTTACATTAAAATATATCTAACTCAAGCTCAAAAGTTATGCTGAAGAGGCCACTGAAGATGTCATCGAATCATTTCATCACAAGAATTTATCATTGTCTCCAATCCTACAGCATTTAATATGGTCTAAACACAATAGCTTTGCAAAACCAATTCCGAGGTAATACAATAGCTCTGATCTAATCGCAAATTCAAAGGAAAATGTTAGTGCATTTGAAGTTGAGGATGTTGTTACCTACTTTTAAAACTTTCTTTTCTTCTAACAGGTATGAACTCCCATCAAGGCGTACTGCCCCTGAAAATGGCTGAGCTAAAATAAAGGCTGTGTTTATAATGTTGAAATGAAATACTGAGTTCTAAACCTGGTAATTTATCTTCTGACAGCTACAAAGTGCAACACATAAACATTTCATTGGCAAATTTAATTTCTGATCTTCCATTTCATTGATAATTGTAAAGTTTAAAATCCATAACAATTTATACGAAGTTCTAGTTGGTCAATACTGTGACCCAGTCCTCTTATACTGAAACAATGTTAATTTACTTAAAATCCACCGCAGAATACTCAATCTGACAGATGTTTACCTCTAACAGAAATAGCTGGATTATAAATGATTCCATTTAAAAAATATTTCACCACGAGTGCTATTTTTACTTCAGATTCATGCAAATATGGTGCTTAAAACTGGGTCATATTTCAGTCCGAAAACCAACGCCCGAAGTATGCGGATAATTTCCAGGAACAGAAAACCCATAAATAAGACATAAACTCCCCCAAATTTAAAATAAATTACATAACTTACTCTGTTTTCCTTCTTTGTTTGTCCTCAAAGACGTCATTGAGATTGATTGCCACCTGCCCTAAAAATTTATCCAGACCCACCAGGGACCTGTGCATGACTATAAGGAAAAGAATGTATTTATCTGGATTCCCCTGCATTAGCAATCCAGGTAGCTCAAAAGAGGCCTCCTCCTTCCAGACTGGCTCAAGGGTTTTCTCAGCTACAGAGGTGGAGTACTTTTCCTTGCCCAGCTGAATTATAGTGTATGTGTCATTGGTGCCACTTTTGCCTTTTGGCTTTAGATCTTTGGCTTGGAGCACTGTGACCTGCACGTGGGTTGGAAACCACTTTTGGGCTTGCTCGGACAGCATCATCCTGTCCTGTTTCTCTGCACACGAGTTCACACGCACAGGCAGTGCCCCTCCCGGAGGGAGAGCCTAATTCCTTAATCACTGCATCCTAAGGGCACTTAACGGAGACCGGCGGGCTCAGGGCTCCCCGACTTCCCTAAGGCCGATGTCAAAACGCCTCTCGGGGGCAGCCCAGGGGCACGGCCGCTCCGAGGGTCCCCTTTCGTCAGGAGAAACACAGGGACCCACCATCACCTGGCCGCGCCGTGAAGGCCTCCGCGCGAACCCCCGCTCCTGGCGTCTCCACCTCCCCAGGCCTGCGGGCACGTGAGGCCTGGCCACCGGGGCCCGGGCGGAGGGCTGAGGGGGTGGAGGGAGCCCACCGCCCCAATTCTGCACCCCAGGCCTCCCGCCTGCCTCCTTGCGGCCGGGCAGCCTCAGACGCCTCAGCGCCTCCCGCCCGCCCCGCGTTCGTCCGCTGGCCCGGCCCTGCTCCTCCTCCCGACCCCGGTAATACGAACCGCCGGCGGCTCACCGGGCCTCGCTCCCTCTAGCAAACCTCTCCCTCCTCCTCCTCCCCCTCGCCTCAGCTCCTCCTCTTGGGCGAGGGCGGGTCGCCCGGGGGGGTGGAGTGGAGGTGGGCGGGGGACGCGGCCGCCCAGGCGACTGCGGGACGCAGGGCGGGCCGCGAGTTGAGGGCAACCGGCGCTGGCGTCGGCCTGGCCCGGCTGGCGGCTCCTAGCACCCGAAGGGCGGCTGCGGCGGCACTTCCGGGTTGGCTTTCTCCATGTTGGTATTGGGAACGCGAAGGGGCGGGGCCTCGAGGTCAGGGGTCAGCACCTCCCTGGTTGCCGTGGCGACTGAAGGCGCGCGACGCTGGCGCGACGGCGGGGACTCTGGGCTCCTGGCCTGGTGCTGCTTGGGCCTGGCCCAGTGGCGCGGGTCCTCGGGACCTGGGGGGACTGCAGACGCCGGCAGGTGAGCCCTGGGGAGACCTGGGCACCGCTCCTTAGGGGAGATCATCAAGGACCTGGAGACGCCCCTAACTAGGGAGAGACCCCTTTTCAGTCTTTGAGGGCTGGGAATCTGTTTTCGCTGTATCCTGGATGCCCAGTGCCAGACACGAGCAGGTCCATAAATGGTGTTGGAACGAATCAGGCCTCTTCACTAGCCGAAAGCAAACTTTTCTCCAACGTCTTTTCCACCCTTCTATTTTTGAAAAGTCTGTCAATTCACTGAAAGTGACATCCCCCACCCAGAAGAGGGGCGAGAGGGAAGCAAATAGCTTCCAAAACTAACACAGGGAGTAGAGATGTAGGGAGGCACTTGGCTGGCGTCAGAAGACCTGGTTCCAGCCGCGCTCCTGCGGCTATCACTATGTGTGACCCTGGCCAAGTCATTTCACCTCCCTGAGCCTCAGTGTTTTCACGAGTAAAAAAGGCCAGTTCCACATCATGTCTAAGACTCCATCACGACGTTAAAAGGACCCTTCTGAGGACTCACACTGTAGTAGACTGTGCAGATCCTGTGGAGACCACGCCCCAAACATGACTTTAGAGTTTTAGGAGATAATACATGTGCCTTTCCTGGCACAAAGTGGCAAAGAAGTCCCCTTTTGCCCCTCTCTTTCTCAATTGGAAGAGACACGTACTACACCTATTGCCTTTAATTCTGTCCGTGTCTTACCTTCCCAAGGAAATTTTATGTTTTGGGACCGCCTTGTCTATCACGCAGCCCCTTCATGGAGCCTAGCATGCAGCAGGCACTCAATTTATTGAATAACTTAATGCCTTTTTTCCCTTTACAAGACTAATTTTGAGAGTGAAACAGTATGACACGTGTAAATGCAGAGTTTTTTTTTAACTTAAGTGGCCATAAACATGTAAAATATCGTGTTTATTATTTTAAAGAAAGTTTAAAACTTCTTCATTCAAGGCAGAATTTTTCATTTCTGAGAGACAGTGTATGAAAAGGCCATGGTGGAAAACAGAACAAAATCGTCATACTGCAAATATAGCATATGAATCCCAGAGTGCATAGTTGTCAACTTTAAAGAAAAATATTCTTAGGGATTTTCAAACAGTACATTGGAATTGCCCCAAGATCTCTAAGGAGAAATAATTTGACACCTGAAACTTACAAAAACCAAATAAGCATCATGAAATCAAATTTAATTTTTAGAGTTTTTATACATTTTTAAAAGTCTTCATGTCTTTATTAAAGGTTTTAATTAAGCAAGAGACAATTATAATAGTGGATGTGTATTTCCAAAGAGCTTAAATTGTTTGATAAGCTTTATTAATGATTATAAACTTATTTACAAGTATCATTTCACTCATCTCTGAAATATAGCCATCTCTAGGGTGGAAGTTGGCAGCAGTAGTTCATAGCAACGCAATAACATACTCCAACACAATTCAGAGAATACTCTAAAGGCAGGAACTGAACGATTGGAATTACTAACATCTCTTTCGGTCGCACCTAAATGTCTTGAGTTTTCACAATACCTGGCTAGAGCCAAAATTGTTTAGTTTTACTGCTAAAATCAGAAATTATGACTTAATATTTTTTAAGCCAGGATAATAAAATAACATATTTTTGCCCCTGGAAAAGCAAATAAACAGAAAACAAACCTAAATGAGCTAAATAGAATCTGGGATTGCATTATAAAAAGGAAATTACTTTCTATAGAGTGTTTTTCTTTTTTGATTGTATTAAGAGAATAAAAACATGACAGTTGAGTCAAAGATATGGTTGGCTTATAGTGAAAAATAATGCCAATTACAGAAGATCTGAGATCAAAGTGCTTCTCCCAAAATGTTTATCGTTTTACGGTTTTAAACATTCTTTTTACTAATTCTAAGATATACATGGACAACAATTTAAAAAAGAAAGGATTGCATGCATAAGGACAACATACCAGAATTGAAGAGAGTCACTTTAAAAAAAATTCTGCTATGACTAATGATATATCCAGAAATATTTGGTACAATTCCAAAATCAAAGTCTTGGGAAAATAATATATTTTAGAAGAAAAATGCTGAACATTCTAATTTTAAACTGTTAACAATGGCTACAGCAATGAATAAGAATGCTTTGACCAGAAAGTTAAAATAGTCAGTATGTATTCCCCAGGAGTAGAGGATTTCACAGATGAAAATATTTACCAAGTGTTGCCCCTTTCGGTAAAGTCCCATAAGGAGACTTATTCCAAACATTGTGGGAGATTTTCCCTTTGGACAAAGGCATCTCTGAAAGCGGGTCTTGCAAATCTGTTGCAGAACAATCATAATGCTCTTATGTTTAACTAGCCCACTGGGGCAAGTGGGTTAATGCTTCCATATATATTACGTAATGGATATTAATTATTTTCCAGATGGAGATTCGGGAACATGAGGACAACAAGAAGCTTTCTCAAGGTATCGTTACAGTCTTTAGACTTCAGATGTACACACACACCTCAAATATATACACAACTGAGATGTATATAAAATTCATGTACATGTACATATGACAAAGCCCCAGAGTTATATTGGAGATACGTAGATAGATCAGTTTCCACGTAACCAGTCGAAAAGTGAAAGAATATTTGGCAAATATTGGACTTGAAATTATTAGAGCAATGAACTAGCATTTGGGGATTTTTGGTGATTGTTTTGTTTTCATCTCTGGACTGATTAATTTCTCTTCTGGGATTGGGCAGTGTGGATATAGTTTGTGATGCCCCAAAAGTAACGTGGTATGTAGTGTAAAGAGCTCTAATCAGCAGCCTGGGTCTTAATCCCAGGTCTGCCTATCACTAGCTACATTTCTTTAGGGAAGTCATTTTTCTTCTTTGGGCCATCTGTAAAGTGGTCTTTTATAGCAACTACCAAAACATCCTCTAACATTTCAAGATTCTGCATAGTATTTCCACATCACAAAGAAGCAAATTGCATTATAATCATCTAATTGAATTTGCTCAATATATTAAAGCAGATTTCCTGTTTATGTAACTTATTAATAAAGAATTCTCTAATTCAGGAGAAAAAAATATTTTTCAAGATGTCCTGAGAACTCTGTCTCTCACAAATGAAGGTAATTAATGATCACAGAAAGCAAGTAAATGTAAGTCTTATTAATAGGCCCTACATGAGGAGATTGACACCAACAGCTCAAGATTTAGAAGAAATAACATGTAGGTGCAAGTGGTTTTGAAAAGCCTTGAACTTTCCAATTATAGTGATAAACATAATTTCTATTTGTATTGTCTGTAGCTTTTTTGAACTGTGAAAACATGCTGAGATTGGTAAGAACTTACAGAGCAAAATATACATTTTCATGTAAGAAGGTTTTGTGGGGAACATCTTTTAATTTTGTTTTCATAGTATTCTGTTGTATAATTTTTATTCCTGCAACAAAATCAATACATATTAATGTATAGAACATGAATTGATATACTTTAACTGGTATATGGTATTGAGTGAGATGAATAAGCCCCATCTGATCTTTTCTCCTTCCAAAGGACGTTTAAGTTATTTCTAGTTTTTCAATTATAATAAACAATGCTGCATAAACATCTGTATGTGTTTCCTATGCATATATGCAGGGATTTTTTATTTTTATTTTGTGACGATCAACAGTGAAATTATTGGGAGTTTGTGAGTGAGAGTATGGAACATCCATGGGCCTGAGCATTAGACCTGAATTCTAATCCTGGTTCTATAAACTAAGGAGTTATAGGCCTGGCAAGCCGTATTCTGTCTATGCCTCAGAGATCCCTTCCAAATCCAGAATTCTCAAATTGTTTTATTATATTTACTGAGAAGCAGAGATTATTGCTATTGGAAGATGATTTTGTGACTACTTTGATATTGGTCTTCAAGTTTCAATTGTCTCATCATCATGAGTACTTCTGAAATCTTCCAGAACATTTACTTCTGTGGATTTAGGTGAGGTTAACAAGGGCTAGAGAATTTTAATTATTCCTAAAAGCAATGATTAGCAAAGTTATATAAACATATTATATTTCTACTTTGTAAACATCTGCTAATTTTTTTATGTTCAGTTAAAATCGAAGATGGAGGAGTAGGGTGGGGAGTTGGGGAGAGATAGCATGGGGAGAAATGCCAGATATAGGTGATGAGGAGGAAGGCAGCACATCACACTGCTGTCTGTGTACCTATGCAACAATCTTACATGTTCTTCACATGTAGCCCAAAACCTAAAATGCAATTTAAAAAAAATCGAATATGGGATTATTTTTTAAACAAAGAATAAGGGATTCAAATTATAGTATTTCTGGGACAGTCTGGAATCTATAAAATTTCTGGGATAATATTTCTGGAAATATGTTCATTTAGAGAACATTAAACTGGTGGACAGCTGGCAAAAGCATTTGGTGGTGGTGCTTTTTTCCTCCATGTGAGATCTAGGGTTCTGTGCCTTTCTACTTATTTGATCTATGTTAAACAAAGTAAGGTCTTTTGTTGTGTTTTGTTTTATTTGTTATATTTTTT